GGCTCCTCCCGGGAGTGGCGGGGTGGCGGGGTCCAGGGAGAGGGCTCCCCACTACCAGGCAGGAGGGCACGGGGGCTCTCAGTGCTCAACACAACAGAGGTTGTGGGCAGCATCTGGAAGGAGGCAATTTTTGTGCTTCAATACTCTGATGCATAAGTCATTTGTTGGCCTCAATGTGCTGCAGTTCAGCATCTCTTATTCCCTAGCTCTCCATCAAGATTAGTTTTCCTAGCAACCCTGCTTCTCTGTTTGTTTAGAGACCTTTTTCTTTCCTGCAGATGATGTTTCTGATGGTGGCTTTGTTACTGCAGTTGATTCACCTATCCTCCAGTCTCACTTCTCCTCTCAGCTCCCCTTTGGCAGATTTGTCCACTGTAAAAAATATGCATATAATTATAAAGGGCATAGAACTATTTTCCTACCTCTACTTTCTGAAACACAGGAGGGGCTGTTGCCTTTCCCTGCTTTTTGTTACTTGACGCAGGTGCCAGTGAAAGAACTCAGCAGAAGAAGAAAAACAGTGGTTTTGAAGATGAACTTTCCGAAGTCCTTGAAAGTCAGAACAACAACATCAAGCAGAGAGGTCAGTGTCAGCCTCCTCCCCCCAGGAAATCCAGGTCAGGCTGTAAACAAGGATGTTCTTTCTAACAGCCTTGATATGTCCATCTGCTTCTCATTTAGGCATCTTCTTTGATGCTGCTGCTGACACACACAAGCAACCCAGTGTTTGCTATATTCTTATTTACCAGCTTAAACAACATGTAATTTCTGAGCTATAGTAACTGGTGATGGTCAAGTTACCAAACTCATACTGATCTTTTCCACCCTGCTGCCAACACCACCACTCACTTCTAATGCTTAAAATGAGTCACAGCCAGGGAAATCCCATTCTGAAAGACTCAGTGATATAGGCAAGAGCGGTCTGCGTCTGCTCTTGCCACCCTTGTTTCCACGCACCCAAGATATTAGGTTATGGGTCTCTGAAAGGAATATTGAACTTGGGATACACACAGCGCACACACCCACACAAAACACGTGGAAAGACCACGTTCAGCTGGGATTTCCCCTGGTCATTATGTTTCTATGGCCTGGATAGAGACAGGCAGTGTAGCGGAAAGGAGGGTTCAGCCCCTTCCCTTTTCCACATCAGGAAGAGACGATGCCAATGTGGGGTGAGATGATTTCTTGTCCAGTGGCAGCACCCTTGCAGAGGGTCTCGAGCAAGCTCTGGGGCCTGTGGCTGAGCCATGGCAGCGCAGTGATGCCATGACATCTGCCCAAAGCTGCCCGAAGCGATGAGGAGCGATACCCCGGGGGGCTGTTCCTGCAGCCAGCATGGCCAAAAGTCAATGGAGAGGATGGGTGGCACTGAGTCTCCCTCCCACCAGGGCAGACCTGAACCCCTTGCTCCAGCAGTGTGGAGACTGCATGAGGATGAAGCGTGGCACGCTGGGCTGTCCAGGCCTGCAGGCAGCCCAGTGACACCTGCGCGTTGTCACTGGTGGTAACCAGCCCTGCGTGACCAGCTCTCTGCATCCCCTCATCCCAGCATGCTCCTCAGCCCTGCTTGGGGCTGCGTTCGCCTTTCCATACCCGTCTGGCTATTCCCACTGCTCTTTAGCCTCCCGTCTTTTCTTTTGCAAAGTGATTTCTATGGCTAATTATGTTAAAAGAGGCCAGTCTCTGACACAAGCAGGAGCAAGTACCCAGCCCACAGTAAGCTCCTGCTGAGCAGCTGCTTTGCAGAAGCAGAGCCGGCCCCCCCTCCCTCCGGCTTGCCTGCAAACAGCGCTGGCTCCCTCTTCAACCTGGTGGGAGAAATAAGGATGCGATGTTAGCACAGCACTCAGAGCAGGGAGAGCTGGGCTGTATTACACTCCTAAATAATTTCATTTTGCGTGCAATCTGGTTTCATGCGGGACAAGTTTGTTGCTGGCATCTCAAGAGATGGTGATGAGGACCATGCCGCAGCAAAGCACTTGGGCATATGTTTAACTTCAGCCGTGCGAGTCTCTCCAGGAGAGCAGGCACCAGTGAGAGTACTGGCTTGCTTGAACGCAAGCATATGTTGAAGAGACTTGCGAAAGGATCCATGGGCTGGTTAAGCAGATTGCTGAGCGGGGCTGAAGCTCCCTAAGAAACGCATGGGCTTCGCTGTTTGAAATGAGCTCTCAGGAGAGGTGTTGCTTCTTGCTCCTCCCTCTGCAGATGCGGCAGGGGAGCGCCCTGAAGAGGAGCAGCCCACAGGGTCCCTGGCTGAGCTGGCAGTACAGAAAACTCAGCAAAATGAAGATTCAAGAGAGAAGGGAAAGAACAGCCTAGAGGAGAGGAAGCCCAGGCCACGGGATGCTGACCCCAGTAAGAAGGAAGATCAGGAGGAAGCAGAGAGCAACGAGATTGGGGACATAGAGGATGCCCAGCGAGATGAAGCTTTGGACAACCACATCAGCAAAGACTTCAGCGAGGATGAGCAGCAGCAGCGAGGGGATGAAGAGGAGCAGCCCAGAGGCCCCAAGGACAGCCTGGAGCTCGAGGACGAGGGAGAGCAGCCATCCAGGCAGGGTCAGGAGCAGAGCAAGGAGACGGCAGGGGAACGTGTGGAGCGGGAGGATGACGGAGGAGACGATGCTGCAGAAGAGGACCCTACTGAAACAGAGAGGTCACTTGATTTGGCTGAGGAGGACGAGGAGGCTGAGGAGATGCAGGGAGACGACAGTACGTATCCCAGACGACTGCACTGATACCTACCCAGGGTGAGCTAAGAGCACTGAGACAGACAGATAAGACGCTTTAAAGCCTAAAAGTTCAGGCAGGTGCTCACTGGGTTTACAGAAATACCCCTGCCGACAGCCACCCACACACCCCTGCAAACACTCGACCACGTGGGCCCACACACAGCAGGTAATACAGGCCCATCAGCTGCCTTGCTGCCTGCTGCTCAGTTTTCATAGCACATGGGGACAACTAATTTCTTTTGCTTGAACTTCCTACATGGTTTTTGATTGCTGCCTCCAAGCCCTGTTACTGACATGGTGACATGAGAGTGGGTATTTCCAGAATCCTGGGAAAATGGGCCTAAGTCAGGAAACCCACCTTGCATCACCCTGCAGGCTCGGTTCAAAGGTGGAGAGTAACCAGGTTAACAATTGTGCTTATTGTTGTGTTTAATGCTCTTTCAGATAACAATGATGCTCTGGGATTTGGCAAAGATGGGCGTAGCTCTGAGGAAGAGGAGGAGGAGGAGGAGGAGGAGGAAGAGCAGCCCCGATCACTAAGAGGAGGAAGGCATCGCCTGGAGGATGAGGAGACGCAGGGGGAGGAGGACATCTTCCAGCCCAGGGATGCCAAAAGCGAGGAAACTGAGGAGGAGTCCTCCAGGGAGTGGGAAGACTCCAAGAGGTGGAACAAAATGGATGAGCTGGCCAAGCAGCTGACATCAAAGAAGCGCACGGAGGAAAATGATAGTGGGGAAGACCCAGACAGGTCCATGAAAATGGCATTTGGGTCCCACAAGTATGACTTCAGTAGTCCAGAGGAAGATGTGAGAAGGTCATGGAAGCATCACTCGAAGAAGGACAGCAGTGAAGGAGGCTTCCCACTTGCTCCCATGCCTGAAGAAAAGAAGGATGAGGAAGGCAGTGCTAACAGGAGGATGGAGGTTGGTGTACATAGGCTTAAGAATAAATCCCGCTCGGTTATTACTTGGGAATCCAGACTATGCTTGGAGATGTGGATGGTACCTTGGCGTTACGCAGCCAGCATCGGTTCTCTGTGACATTAAGGAGATGCTTGGTGACCTTTTAGTCATTCAGTCCTAGGTATTATTGAGATTTGCACCTGGCTGTGCCTTTGGTTTTTAATCCTTGTTTTAGTGACAAGTGCAAAAAAGTGCTCTGCCCCAGAGAGTCTTAAAAAGGACTTTTGTGCTGGCCTGTGCTGGACATGGTGATCAGAGCTGTATCTGGAGCCTGGGCGTGGGTCTTGTGTCCCAAAGCCCCTCCAAGTCAAAGGGAATACTTTCGCTGGCTCAGGGATGGAGTGGGTAGTGTCAGACCTCCTACATAGGTAAACCAGGGGTGCAGCTGTGGTGAGAGAGCTGGGGCGTTGGAGTGGAAATAGTTGACTGATATGGGAATACATCTGAGCCAGGCTTCCAAAGTCAGAGATCTCCTTCCCTGGTACCTCGCGTGATGCTATGTGGTAGCTCAGCACCTCCCTGGCAGCCAGGAGTGCGGTTTCACCTTTGTGCTGAGGCCCAGCTCCAGGCACGGATGTTTATTTGGGATAGTGCAGGGGGCTGGCCAGCGGGGCTGGGCATGGGCTCTGCGGGTGTTTGCTCTGGGACAAGCCATGATCAGGTCCCTGGGAACAGACTGGGGCAGCAGGTGACTGAAGCCAGTTTGCTGCAGCTCTCTTGCCGCCAAAACACTCCTCTTGCCTTAGTTACGCACCACAACATTGCCCAAAGGTTGCCCATCAGGTCCTCTGCCAAGAGGGCATATCCAGTCGTGTTGGTTCAAAGCAAAGCCAAACGTCTCAGCTCCAAGCAGGGATGCAGGGGTGCCTGCCAAGGAGGTGGGCACCTGCCCCATCTGCCTCCTCACCACCCAGGTCTCTCCCCCAAGAAGGCTGCTCCCCACCTGCCCCTGCCAGCAGCTCTGGGGTGCACCTTGTCTGCAAGGTGGTGGGCTCAGCCTCCAAATGGGAACTGGGAGGGAGTTTGCTGAGACTGCAAAACTGCTGTTTGTAGTTGCAACAAGATTTTCTGGTTTGTTTTTTTTAAACTAGATCAAGGCCTCTAGGAGTCAGTGAGGAGGTGTCAGACCAGGCACCCAGCAGGGAGGGAAGGGAAGGCACAAGCTCCGGCTCTGCCAGAGTAGCTGCCATCCTGTCCCCTCTCCTCACTTTCAGGCCATGTGGCCACGTGGCTTGGCCAGTGAGGCCAGCGTGGGCACAGCTGGGGGCTGAGAGTGCTGTCCCCTGCACTTGCCAGGGCTCAGCCTGCAGGGCCAGGCAGGAGCGAGCCAGGGCGCACGGGCACAGTGCAAGGCAGTGGTTTGGGTCTGACCTCTCCTCTCTTTGGGTGCTCTGGAGGATCTCAGCACAATGCTATTTTCTCACTTTCTGGGGGTTCCAGTTGCAGCCAAAGCTCTCCTCCAGCAAGGCGAGCCTCAGCCAGCTGCTCCCTGACTCGCTTCAAACAAAACACACCGGAACAGGCACTAGGGCTCAGTCTGGCTCCCCTGGGTGCTGGCAGGCACCCTGAGCCGCCGGCACAGTGCTGTAGCCAGAGCCTTCCTCAGGGTTGAGCCAAGGGCCCTGCGGAGGGGCAGGGTAACTTTTGCCCTGTTCAGGAAAATAGCTCAGGGATGAGAAAAATGACTTTTTTTTACACAATTTTTTTCGTACCAGCCACATGCAGTGCAGGCCAGTGGCTCAGCGTCTGCCCGCGCTTGGCAGCTGCTGCAGGCAGCAGCAAGGCTCTGCTCCCTCCGCACAGAAGAGGGGCTGTCACCTCAGCTTTGCTGACAGGAAAAGGCACTTTTAGCACACACAGCCCCAAGTTTGCTCCTGCAGAGCCTGCTACTGCGCTGGGCAAGCGTGTGATCTGCAGCGAGCCCCAGGTGACGGCAGCTGTGAGGGACAGCCTCCAGGGCTAGGGCTGGCAGCGAGACAGGGCCAGTTGCATATGACCGGAGTTCAGGCAAAGCCACGCAGTTCTGAATTTGAGTACCTGCACTAAATAAAATAGCTTCAGGTAATGTTATAGATACACAAGAGCCACTACAGAAAGGTCACCAAGCGATGGGCAGCTTGAGCCTTTAAACTGATGGCTTCTTCAGTCACTATTTTCCCAAACGGAAAAGCCTCTTCTGGTACTAGAGGCACATGCGGACACCCAGCACAGCATGGGGAGAGGGGACACCGCCGTCCCCTCCACGAGCGGGGTACATGTTGCACTTGCTGCAGGTGGCAGGCACCTGTGCCCGTCCTGGTTTGACACCACTGCCTCAACACAGGCGCCCAGTGCTGTTTGACCGTGCCCGCCCTGGCCTTTGTTCCCTGGCAGCCATCTCCCTCTAGCCCCATGCTCTGGAGGGAGAGATGCATCAGGGGCTGCCCTGCCCAGCAGTGGGGCTGGGGAAGGACGGTGGCTGCATGTCTTGTCCCCGTCACCAGCTGCAGCGATTTAACATTAGGACAGGACTAATTAGTGTTGCGCACAGACATCTGTCCAGAGGGGCAAATGCAGGAGTGGGCTGAGGTGAGGGGGCAAAACACGTCTGTGCTCGTGCCACCACCGGCAGCTAGCCCTGGGCAAGGCTTTCTGTTGCTGTAGGGGGTGAGGGCTGCCCACCCGCGACCGCTGATGCGTGTACTGGGCTGTCGTTGCAGGACCAGGAGCTGGAGAGCCTGGCCGCCATTGAGGCCGAGCTGGAGCGTGTCGCCCACAAGCTGCACGAGCTGAGGCGAGGCTGAGGGCCCCAGCCCTCCCTGCGCAGGTGAAAGCCACTGCTGCCGCCCTCCTCCCTCCCCACCGCATTTTCATTTCCTGATTTAAAAGCAATTAAGCCGGAGCAGAAGCATCGTGCCTAGGAAACCGACCTCGCTAGCGCCCAGGCCTGCCTCCCTCGCCATAGTGTTGTGCCCATCGCCGCTTCTTCACCTCACGCTCCCCCGTCCACACGGATGCCCACCCGCCTGGCCGGGCGCCGGTGGGTGCAAAGCGCAACCTACACGTGTATTTTCTGTCCGGGTGGGGGTTTTTCCCTCTTTTTTTTAAAAGACAAGACAGCTTTCTAGAAAGTTCTCCTTCCACCGGTAGTTTCACTGGGTAAAAAACTGCAATAACTTGTTATCTTTTGATTAAAAGCTGAGAACTCTGACTGTAATATATTCTATATAAAAAATTTATCTAAGGAAAAATAAAACTGCAGTGGGTTCCGTCCTTTGTTTTGGCAGCTTCAGTCTTGGTCGTCAGCACGCTGCAGGTCCTGGGGGGGAGAAGGGGGAATGGAAGCCTCCCCTCACCACAGACACATTGTGATGGCGTCTCCCTCCTTACCCAGGCTCCAATGCTGCTGCCCACCGAGGCCCAGCGTCGAGGACACCGCCCTCAGGTCCCGAGCACTGCGGGGCTCTCCCTGCCCGCCCGGGGCCGGCGGTGCCGTACAGCCCAGCCCTGGCACCGGGTGTCCCGGGTGTCTCAGTGAGACGTGGGTCACATCCGTAGTTCATCGATGAACTCAGGGTTGACCAGGGAGAAAACAGTTTAGAAGTTTAAACACTGGGGCAATACTTGACCAAGTCAAGCTATTTGGACAACGCACGAGTAGGTTAAAAAACCCCAATGTAACAAATAGGCTAGTCATGAGGAAAACTACTGGTCTCTGTTCCCCCAGAGGTGAAGGCTGGTCCTGAGGCGACGCCCCTCCTGTGCGTTGGCTCGCAGGAGCTGTGGTGGCCTGCTGTCACAGCACTAACAGGCAGAACCTTCCTCATCCTTTGGGCTTCAGGCCACATGCCAGCTGGAGGACTGGGTGGTGCCTGGGCTGGAGAAGCTTGCCCCAGAAGTCTCTGAAGACCGACCATAAGATTTTAGACTCTCTGTGTGTATTGGCAGGAGAAGAAAAGAGCATCCCGCTGCCAGGGCTGTATCCCACCCCCCATTCAAAGCTCAGTTGTCTCCCATCACCTGCAGCCCACAGAACAGCTGAGAAGCTCAGGGAACGGCTGCCAGGCTTTGAACTCGACATATTCCTTCATTCTGCTAAAACCATCAGCACTGTTGGCCCATAGAGTGAACTGCACTGGAGGTGGGCGTGCGGGGTCCCCTTGGCGCAGGAGGCACTGGGTGTCCAGAGCTGTCCTCCACCCACCAGGTGAGCTTCCCCAGGGAGGGCTGGAGGAGCTGCTGAGCGGGCAGTGCCCCTCGCCCCCAGTCCTGGGCAGCCACACGGGGCAGGAGGAGGCGGCGAGGCCGAGGCACAGCCCGAAAGCTGCCCTGGCACAGGGCGCAAGCCGGGACAAGGCACAGGGTGAGAGCCTGGCTGGGGAAAGCGCACCAGAGCGAGGTGCGAGTCTCCCAACCCCATGCTGAGGAGATCGCGCTCTCATTAACCTCAGGGAAATGTGCGTAGGAACAGAAGTGAAACCAAAGCTGTTCCACAGAAACAGTACTAAAATGTCAGTTATTAGGGAGTTAATCCAGCTGTAAAAGTCACATTTTACATACTGGCCTTCATTTAAATTTTAATTTGAATATTGTATTTAGTTTCTCCTTTTTTTTGCGGCAGAGTCTCTGCCGGTAGCATCACCCATACAACCCCTTGCAAACTGAGGTCTGCATGTCACAATAAATTCACAGAAACTCTCAGTGACCCACTCTACCCCATCCCTGCCAAAACAAAAAAACCCAAACCAACAAACCAACCCCAAACCCAAGAAACCAAACAACCCACCACAGAAACGCAGCCATCTCCAAAGGACTTAGATAAGTTTTTCCACAAAGGATGGCAGCAGCAGACAGAACTTGTCTATTGCTGCTGCAAAATCAACAAGCGGAAAAATAACGTTACTTGATGGAGCCACTATAAATACTGTCTTAATTGTATATTCAAGTAATCACTAACATTTGGGACCCAAGGACTTTCTTCAAAGGGAAAGACAGAGTTCAAGGCCTGAGCACTGGGCCTGGGAGGATGCCTCAGCAGCTGGCAAATGCTGGCCCTCCGAGTGGTTGTACCTCTGCTCAACCATGTCTCTCAACTCACCACTGCAGGGCTTGGCCTTGGGGCTGACACCAAGCGCTGATCCCCCGGCAGCGTTCACATAGGCGCCCTTGCTGAGAGCGCTTGTTGCTTAGCAAAATTTAATGCTGCTGGGTGAGATATCGATCTTTCCTGCACTAGCCAAAATAGGATCCTGAATAAAAATCCTGCTGGGTTTTGAGAAATCAAGAATTCCCTGTCCAGGATGATGAAGGAATAATCAGCCCAGAGGCCTATGCTAGGAATAAATGCTTAAGTACAGCAGTAGCCTAAATCCCAGTGATGTTTAGCTGTGTTATATAGTAAGATAAAAATAGCCGACTTCCTAGTAGTGTTAGAAGAGAAATCAAATCAAATCTTGCTGGTACAAGAAGGTCCAAAGTAACTGCAAACAACTGCACTGGGGAAGGACGTGAAAACCAAATTCTCATGAAAACAGGCTTCCCCCAGTGAGCTGCTCACCTTGCTGCCCTATCCGCTCATAAAGAGAAAGCAAAGCAGAACTTGTTATAAGGCATTTATTTTCATTACGTGTTGGAAAGGGACAATTCCATCTTCAAAACAATTACAGAGATAATGCCACAATACCTACTGCATAATGCTTTACTGCTGAAACCAATTGTCCAAAACAGGTGCTTGGCAAATGAAAAGAAAATGAATATATTACCATTGAAATCAATGCTGTTAGATGAAACCACCATCTTCACTGCCGATCTGATCAGTCATGCAATTGAAGACGCCAAATAGCAAGTATTTTTGGTTTTTACAGTAAGCCATGATCTGTTAAGGGTTTATATAATTCTATACAAATTTAAGTACAAAATGGGAATTATGTTTCAGAAATCATAGTGAACCGGGCTGAAGCGAATCACAAGACACACTTGTTAACACTGTACAGCTGGATTTGAACACAGATACCAATGAACTTGCAAAACCTAGCACACACACAAAATGGTCCCCAAGATTCAGCCATGCTTAGTTGGGGAGCAATGCTGGAAAGTGAAGGAGAATATCCAACACTATTCACACCCGGAGGGCCATTTTTCTCAAAATTGTTGGGATCCCAAGGAATTGTTGTCACTCTGTTTTAAGAATGACTGCATTTTAGTATGTGGTTCTCACAAGGGTATACACAAGCTGTATCAAATACTGAATCAGAAATAAATAATAAAAGATACATCTAATAAATCTTTTATTTTTAATTTTTTTTTTTACAGCAATGACTTTACAAGAGGATAAACAACTCATTTTTAGGGGCTGCTAACATCTGAAACAAAGAAGTCACTATTTTATACTCAACATATACTCAACCTTTTAATAACTTTATATATGTATATATGACTTTTCACACAAAAAATGTTAAAATAATTTATATCTAAAAACTACTGTGTAAAGAACGAAGGAGGAAATAAAATATGGGTTTCCTTAAACAGGATGGAAGAGGAAGACCTGATTTTCATGAACTCCTTTTGCTGTTTCAGCTATTTCTGGAGTTTCAAGAGATTTCCAGGCCATCAACAAAAACTTCCCAACACATCGGGAGCCCTCTGCAAATTCATGGCACACTGGGCAAGGTCACCTGCTAATGAGCTCATGCGGCCCACAGGCATCTGCTAGCATCAGCCCCAGTGGATTCAGGGTAAGAAAGGTGAAGACAAAAAAAACATCTCCCCAGACTGCTATTAAAAACATAGAGTGAAATTCTGGACCACTGGTATCATGATGTCCACTGGCCAGGACTTTACTCCCAAGCCCTACCTCTCCTCACCCTTCCGCATCACAGGTACAGGATGTTTTCTTACAGTGGGTTTTTTATTTCCACAGGAAAACTGCCCCAGTAGCAGGGGTGGACCAGACCCCAACAGCCACCTGCACGCACACAGCGAGAACGATTCCCTTTGCTTGCTACAGATGCTACCGTGCTTGTGTTGCTGAGGAATCTCTCTAACATCTCCATTTATACCTGGATCCTCTCAAACGTCAACATCTTTAATAATTTTTGTGGCCATGTAAACATGGCAGAATCCATGGAGGATTTGAAACCCATCCTGTTAAAAAGCTTAAGTGTTGATGGCCTGGATCCATACAGAGTGAACAGGGAAAGGAAAGGTAGTGAAGATGTGGAAAGTACTTTTCTGGAGGTTACATTCCTCTGAAATAGATATTAAAGCAATATTACACATAAAATCAGCAATGTGATCTGCAACAGCGTGTCTGTTTATCTATGAAAACAAGAGGAGATTATATTAAAGGAAATATTTTAATCTACACAAAGCATTTTCACATACTCCTAATTACAAAACACACAGTTGCAACACCATAAAGTAATTGTATACTGAATACAGAAATCAATACATCTCTTACTAAAAAGGAGAGAGGAAAAGAAAATTAGCAGGGTAATGCAAGTGAACTCCTGCAAGTGTGCACATGGGGAGACTGCTACAAACTCAAAATAGACTCTATTGACTAAAAAAACCAAAATCCAAGATTTTCTGCACAGCTGTGGAAGGCAAGGCTGCAAGCTAGTGTGAAAAAGTCTGACTCACTTGTCACTGCTGCCACGCAAAGACTTTGGGAAACCAGTGTTAGTCTAAGAACTGATTAGCCTGGAATTTTGTTATCGGATGGAAACATCAGAAGCATTTTTCCTGTGTTTTATTCTTTTTTGCCAGCCAATTCAAACACCTCTAGCCCCATTTATTCTGTTTCCTTTGGACTGTATCCTGCCTCTGTTATCTGCGCACTACTCCACCTGGTCGTTCCCTGGCTGGATACAGCTAATCTGGCGAACTTGAGGCTTTATTTTGAGCAATCCTTGTTACCTCGTGAAGCCTCAGGGTCGGGTTCTTAATTTGTACTCATCTGTAATGAAAACAAATTAAACTGGTGGTTTTCCATCCGAGCAACCTGCTGCAGACCTCCTCTGCACAAACATTCCCACATTGAGGATGGAGATCTTTAAACAGCTTTATCATTCCAACAGTCTGAAGAGTATTAATAAAAATAGCACATCCTATCTACCAACCAGCCCGGTCAATCGGCTCCTACAGCACAAAGGTTGAATAACCAGACCTGTGGTTAACCAAAGGCAAAACAGCATTGGCCCAGTGGTAGTTCTGCGTTACACAAACCACAAGTGTCAGCACCGATGCTCTTAATTAGGCTGCATTTCTGCAGTTGGTTTTCACGTAATGATCAGGATGTTCTGGTACAGTCATTACAAACCCAAGCACAACGCAGTAAAGTCAGCTATGGGGGGAGGAGAATGGTGATGGCTTTACATCACAGGCAGTAGTAATACCCCTCAAGTTCTCTTCAACAGGGAAAAATCTTCACTACTGAAGCTGATTACATAATGACAGTAGAAACCCATCTCCTCCATCACACTGACACAAAACGTGGAGAAATTCCAGTCAAGCTAATGGTGTTCTTGTGGATTTCTAACAATGAAGCAGAACAGAAATAGATCCCTAAGAAGCTAACTGGTGACCATGTAGTTTTAATATAATTGCTCCCATCAACACAGTAGTAATAGCTATGCCTCTGAAAACACAGCAAAACCTTTTCTAACCCACAATAACAGAATTCAAACAGACATTATGGAAAATCTCACTCAGATTGTCCGCAATTTTAAGAGCAAGGGCATTCTGGTATGGTCTAATATTACTAGACTCCTCTACTTTTACAAAAAAAGACAAGACTACAGAATATTAACTAACTTACTGTGAAGCTTATCTTAAATCAAAACTATCCTGAACTTACCAAACGAGGCAGCATTTCAGAAAAGCACTTTAGCACAAGCTTAATAACATACACATGCTCAAATGTTTCGCAATAATGTAATTGTATGTCTGGATACTTGGTAATTTACAGTTTTGGCTTTTAAAAGTTGGTCTCCCAATTTGCCCCTGTGATTTAGCAACATTCTAGTATATGAGCCATAACAATAATTTCTGCAAGGAAATATAGTAATACAGCAATTCCATGGTAATTTATGTGAAAACTCTATCGTAATGCCACATCACAACAGGTACCTGCATATCTGCACCTGGTAAATTAAAGTGATACTGATACATTTGATAAATAAAAAATAAATTACAGACTATGGGAAAAATGTCACTGATCACACCAATGACCTAAACTTGTTTTCTAGTTACTGCCAAGGTCTAGAGTAATATTTAAATATAGTATTTCTGCAAGCCTTCAGAGAATTACAAAATAAACTTCTAACAATCATTTGTAAACAAGTTTAAAATGCACAATTATATTTCAGTAGTTTATTTTGGAGAAATAAAGCAGTGCAAAATAGGCCAACCAAAATTCAGAAGGCAGCCAGGAAAATAAAATTCTTATTCGATGTTTTAACTAGGAAACAGCATACAGACATTTCCATCGGATCCAACACTCAGATTCATGTAAACATACTTAGTTTGAATGGTCTTGAGTTACTAACCCAGTTTTAACATCATTGCTTCTCCCCCACCATCCAATTAAAAAAGCAAAAACAAAAAAACCCCCAAAAAACCCCAAAACACCCCAAGCCATTTTAATAAAGAGAGCAAAAGGCAAGACTACAAACACTCCACCAGCTGGTTACAAGAAAGTACCATACAAAAATATGCACTGGCAAGTTCCTTCCTGAGGGTATCTTTTGTTACACATGTAACATAAAAACACTTTTTATTTTAAACAAACAAAAACAAACCCCGAACTGTAGATGTCAATTTTATTTCAGTCATGGCTTTATGAAAGGTTTGGTCTACCATGAATACTTTTATAAACCCTTACCTATGTACATCCGACTCACTCACACCATGATCACAAGAGACCTGCGAGCTGCAGACAATGTAGGATTCACCAGCCTCAAAGCATACAAGGGTTGTGAAGCATGCCCAGCTCAGAACTGATCTGCAATGATCAAGGAAGTTGGCTGCATTTATGTGCACCCTGCAATTTGACAGATACCACACTCATAAGGTCCTTCCAATCCCTACAGAAATATCTTAAAGTTAGTAACCTCTTTAGAGGTGGAAGAATCTTCTCTTGTGTAAATCATCTTTGAAAATCTGATCCTGGCTACAGGAAATTCCCAAGAATGGCATTTTGGGAACAAACCTGATCTCTCCTAAGGAAAAACCATTGTTTACACAAAAGAATTGCTACACAATACTCTTCAAAACTTTTTCCCCTCCAGGACTGGTACCATCAGGTAGGGTGGTGACATCTTTTACACAGGTTACTCCTCTCTCCATGGTCTACATGGGCTTTAAGCTCTAGATCCTTTCCTTTTGAGTAGATATCTAACACGTGATACTAACAAAACTGATATTAAATGCTGCAGTGATGGATGCTTTATGAATACCTGCTACAGAAAGACAGAAATTCCCATATCTGCAAGCTAGAAGCTTAATTAATGAAATTTTCTTACCACCACCCTTCTTAAATGTATTTTAGGGCTTATATGGGGAAGGGAAGGCCACTCTGTCTACCAAAATAGTGTCTCCATTCTCAGCACTGACAGACTTGGATATTTCCAGTTTAGTGTTCAGAATTGGCAAAAGTTGCAGGAATTCTCAACAGCAGAAGATGCTGCCATGCTAGAATATGCAATAGAGGATGAACACTGTAGGTTTACTGCGTATCTCAAGAGATACAAATTGGCTGTGCTATAGTTTACAAATAGTATAAAGCACTATTGTAAATTACCACATGGCCTCATCTGGCAGCTTGCAACAAAATAATGTGGTCTCTAAGCTAGAGCTGTCATGTACTTCTACCTCATACAAAGGTACACAATTCTGCTTATATTTAATTTGCAAAAGAAAAAAAAATGCACAGCAGCATGGATCTGTGGAAGGCAGCAACTGTGTTACCGCTTAGGATCTGCAGATCAGGTGTACTGCTCCAAGGAAAACGCACAGCTCTGATTGCCAGCCTTCTTGCAGAGCTGTCCCAGAGTCCTCACAAGTGCAATGGAGGGAGAATTAAATTCTCTGCTAAGAGATGCGCTGTTTCCATTAACTCTTCTAGGATTTCACCACTAGCAGACAATTGAAAGGATGACATTTAATCTACTAAATCACTCAACCTAACTATTGGCACTCTGTCTGGATCAGACATGTGTCGCTGTTGGCAAGCGTGGTTAGAAACTGCTTTTGACTGAAGCAATGAGGCCCGGGGGAAGAACTGCAAAGCTGGAACCGGGGTGGTCACCTCGGTTCTGCACCCTGAACAACCAGTCTGCTCTGACCCACTCAAAGTGCCGCGGCTCACAGCAAGCTACCTGTCAATGTCTTGACTGGTCAATGTTTCGAGATTTGGTTCAGTGATACTGAAGTTGTCTTAGCTTTCTTTTGCAATGGCCTACCTGGAAAAAGGGAACAGGGAATATTTTAGGCAAAAATCTCTAGTACTGTTACATTCATACATTCCATTTCAACATTATTATCTTCTTGATACCATGAGGTCCGATTTTAAAATGCTGGTCACCAGTGATTACAAAGAACAATAGAAATGAAAGAGCAACCCTCCCACAATGAAAGGACTAGTGTTAAAACCCATGTGTGTGTAAACTCACTACAGATTTGCAACTGGAATCTGATGAAATGGATCTGAATCACTTTCTCACCCCCCCCTTTTAGTCCATTTCATCAGCAAATCAGGTTAAATCAAATGAAAGGGTTTTTTATTTTGTTTTTTTTGTGTTGTATTTTATGTTGTTTTTTTTTCATTTTTCGCAATTTTATTGTTAGAGCCCGATCTGGTTCTGGGACCACAATTTGTATCCCTGTGGCTTTTTCTCAGTCCATGGCATTGGCAAGTTATTGAGAAGAAGCTTTTGTTGCCAACGTAGCGACGCAGTGCTGCTGGAAGCTGGGGGACACTGCGGAGTTGCAGCCTAGTCTCTGGTGTTGCAGTTTTACTGAGCTGTTGGTCTCGCTTTCCACAATCCAGGAGGAGTCTTTTCCCATGACGCTGAGACAGCCTGTGCTAGCGCAGCATATCCGCTCGTCCATGATCCCGCTGGTCTGCTCTGCCAGGAGCTTGCTGCGGTTTAGCTGGGTCATCTCAGGTGCTTGACCCTGCAGGACAGCAGCTATGTGGTTCAAGAGATCTGTGAAAAATTCGGAAACACCCTCGTAACCTGAAAACATGAAAAATGAAGAAGAGAAAAAAAGGCAATTAAGTAATTTTCCTAAATTCTTTGAAAGGCTTCTTCTACCAGTTTATTTCTTGGGCTGTCCTTGCCCTCCAAGTGATAATAAAAAAGCTTCTTTTCCATGACGTCATTTTGAGTGACTGCACAAGCAGGTTAGCATAAAGAGAAACAGAGACACTTGCTACAAAAATACTTTTGTTCAATGAGAATACCTTTTAGATTTTCTGTTTCTTTTTCCTCCCAAGTATGTGTATATATAATTTTAGGTATATTGTTGTAATTCATTGCCAAGTCCAGGTTTTTCCGTAAGTTACAAACTCAGTGTTATAACAATTTTTTCCATCCTGTTTCCAGGTTTACTATGGAAAGTAGCTCTAATGCAGTTTCCTTGAGGGTCTGGATCCTCTCTGGAATTTGCCCAGCAATACCCTCAGGGAAACCTCAGAGGACAGCAGCCTGGCTTTATACCCTACAGAAAAGGCAGTTTCCCACTGTGTAAGAAGCAATGTGGTGCTTGTCTAATCTAACCTAACTTGGCACTTAAAACATGTTCCCTGCTATGAGCAATGTCTGAAAAAACACTCGAAGGACAGTAAACATGTATCAACGATACAGGATTTGGTAGAAACATCAATCTTTTATTTCAGTACTGAAACCACCTTTCTGCATGTTCTGTTAAGTGATCCCAGACAATTTACAATGCAGAGTTTAAAAACAAGTTTCCTGGTTGAAACAGTTACTCAAATACCAGGAGACATGACATTTTTGGTGACACAAAGGGTGGCAGTAGGCGTACAGAGCTTCTGGCTCTATTTTAAACACTCTGGTACAGGCACAGTTTTATCACTGCATTTATTTTAAAATTGATCCAGACATGCAATGTATCGGTACAATGTCCTGAAATGGATCTTAACTGCTACTGCATTACCTAAAATTGTTATCAATTTGATTTAGTATTTAGAGGTGACATATGACATTCAGTGTATTTAATGGGCTAGGCTGATTGTTTTAAAATGTCTATAAAAGTATTCTGAGGGTGACCTGGTATTAATACAGGAGACTGAAGCAATAAATAACAGTTTGAAGTCCCCTGTGAACAGCACACGTTCACACAGCAGCACATGAGCAGAACCAGAGACCACAAAGTAAATGCACATTTTAAAACACTTTTAGTGATGTGATCACAGGGCAGAAGAGTCCCTCAGATCCATAAATAATTAAATTTTAATCTCCATTCTCCTGTAAAGATCAACCTCCTTAGGCAATAAAAACCCAACTTCCTGAAAAACATATGGTATGAGGATAATTTCACCTTAAGATAAATGTGGTGATTTTATGGTGTATTTATGACCCATACGTTAACCAATTAACTCTTATTTAGGCTGCTACATTGCTTTGGATTTTATTGCACTTTGTCGCAATTCTCCTAGATACGTAACAGGTCACACAAAACACTATCAATGTGAGACAACAGCTCCCAGTTTTCCTTTCTCAAAGGATTCACCAAACAGATCACCATTTCAAAATGTCAAGTTTCCCAGTGCCCCACACGATAATCCATTGGTCAGCAGGGGGCAACTTACAGCCGGTCACAGGAGCCAGAACAAGATCTCCACCTCTTTGACAGAGGTGCTTGTTACGCTTTCTTGCTTATGTAAAAGCCATGGGATTAGCCTTCAAATCTACTCAGAGTGCTTCAAACACTCCGGGAATAAGCCATCTCCACAGTAACAGCTTTAATATTCAGAGAGGAGATCCATAGTACCCTAGAGTGTTTCGTGTCTGCTCACTGAAAACAAACCAGCTTTGTTTGAGGGCACCTGGCAAACTCACAAAGAAGTTGCTTTAAATATTTAATGGGAATAAGATGGCCAGTTATTCAGTCCTGAAATCAGCAGATGTTACAGTGTAAGGAAGCTGTATGCATCAGGCAGGCTTCCTCTGTGCAAGCCCTCTCTGCACACTGGGTGGAAAGGCCCAAGTAATTCTGCCTGGTCACTCAGAAGAAACTTCACACTTCTGAAAAAGACATACAAGGAAGGCAGGAAGAGAACCTACAAGGAAGGGTGCCTCAACTCTTGAGCTACAAGATGCCTGGGGAAGGCTGCAAACTCTGGATAATTGCCTCACTCTGTTCACTGGCTGCTGCTACAGGCCTTTCAAAAAAGGCAATTGTGGGACATCACTGTGCTATGATGATAACAAAATCAAGAAGGGCAAATTAAACTACACCTTCAGAAACTACTGGTAATGAATTTGGAGTTAATGTCCCACAAGGAATCAGTGGGAGGATATAAGTTTCGCACGCCTCAAAGCACAAGTTGTATGAATCGTGCTCCAGCAGGTACTACCCTAGCACTGCCCACTGAAACCATTTTGGAAATGCCTGTCTACAAGAGGCCTGAATTTTGCTATGTTGAAAACAATCTCGAGAGTCCTCTGGCTGAGCATGCATAGAAGGATGTCCACTCAGCAATGCATCTGAAAACAAGTACCTGCCCCCCTGAGCTTTGTGGAGTCAAGAAATGCCTATGAGCATTTTTAAGCTAGCGTTAGAGATGCTACCTGCCTGATTTTTAGAAGACTCTCTCTGATCTGGCACACTCTCTGCTTTTCTGCATCTTCTCTTGGGCAGAGAGAAATGGACAGCCCATGTCCTGCATTTGTGGCAGCATATTTACACAAAGTGCACGTCCAGATCTGATGCTTCCAGCTGCCACATATAGGCACACAGAACCAGCAGTTCACCCGTACTGGTGACAGGCTGCAAAATGTGTGCACAAGCTGCTGCTCACACTGGGTGATCTCAGCCATGGCCACACAACAGCAGGTTATAAGGAACCTTTTCTCTGTTACCTGAGGTCAAACATAAAACCCACATGCTACGTGACTGTGCCTATAGTTAAGTATCTCCGCTGGTAACCACAGCTAAATATAGTCCTGGTGGTTTCCCACAGAACAGGAAACACAATAGGCCTTTTAGACATTTATCTTTAAAATCTTTTTGAAGAGTTGCTGGTGTTAATGGAGCAGATAACAGATGATATCCTCCTACAGGTACATCTGCTCTCAATTCTGACGTTAAACTAATCTCAAGATGACATCCACAGAGTGGCAGATTCAAATGAGCTTCAAGCCTGGTAAACACAAAAGACAGCACGCAGGGAAGCCAAGCTTCTGGGCAGCTGGACAAGGCTTTGGTCAGGCCTGGCCCCAAGCTGTGGCTTGAGCTCCATGAAAGAGGCTGTGAATGCTCCTTAAAGGGCACCTCTTCCTTTCCCTTCCCCAAAGCAGTGGTGCAGAGATAATGTAGTAGGTCCTCGAACTGTCTAACTTGGCTCCAACTTGGCTCTACTGCAACTCTTGCAGGACAGGATGACTTGAGGAAGAGGAGCAAGGGAAAGCCCCTTCGTGGGACTGCACTGAGCCAGGAACAGTGAGATCCCACTGCTGATGCAGCCCATCAATGACTCTCTTGAGCAGGGCTGAATTTGAACTTCTCATTAGCAAGGTGCTGGCTCCATCAATGAAGCCAGCCCTTGAAGCTGCTGAGCCTTAATCATATTGGCCCTTGGACAGAAAAGCAGCTGCCTGGGCTGAACATGCTTTTGGGCAACAGAGTATTCTGTGTTGAGATGTAACTTTTCTTCTGTTGTATTTTACCCCATTGCTTTTCCTCTGACCTCAGCAGCCCTGAGAGCAGCTCATCTCTCTCAGTTTTACAAATTTGAAGGCAGTTTTGTCTACCTTCTCTCTTCCATATGTCTGGTCCCTGCTGCTATTCTCTAGACTTTCTCCAACTGGTCTTCAACCTACCCCATGGTGATAAAGCCAGTAGCTACCTTCACTACCCACACGTTCACCATCAAAAAAATCCTGTGTGAGACACAATGTAGACCTGTGCACAAGAAGTTTCCCCGTGCTCTCAAGCCTCTTGCAAGGACTAAACCACTCTATTAATTCAATGTCTCCTCAAAGACCAATTACTGTGCAGATTGAAACACACGATTTTGGCTGAATAACAAAAACTATTGCCTCAGAGTAGAAGTACAACAGAGCACAAGGCTTAAGGCAGTTCTGCAAACTTCTGCCACAACAAGAAGACATTACTCCTCTTTAAGTACTTAAGTTTGCCACTAGTTGTTCCCCAATCTGGACTTTGCAATATTTCAAGAGAAGGGGAATTTCAGTCTGTGCGAAGTACCAAATCCAAAACAATATTTGAAAAAACAAAAATCCCAAAACATCAAACCAAAATGCAGGCTGCAGGATTGCAAAAGAATGTCCTGCATCACTGACTTCAAAACCCAGTGTCTGAACTGTAATCCCATTCAGAAAACTGATTCAGCTCCACGTGACACCCAACTTAGGCTGTTTCACTGCTCTTGGCAGAAGACTGTTTTCATAGGTCTGCAGATTGCATCAACACCATACGGTAGAACCAAGCTGCAAAGTGACCTGAGAAAAGCAGGGCTGGAGTTTTATAAGGAAGCTAGTCACTGTGGAGATATACAGGCAAGGCACTACAGGGCAGTGGGATTGAGGACCTGGATTGAAAGATTAAGATGACTGGGGGCTCAGGGCAAGATCTCTAGATGTAAAGATTCAGCCATATTGAAAACTCAAAGTCTTCAATGACAGGTTAAACAAACTGTAACAGCCTGTGTATGTCTCTGGAAACAAACATCACTATTCAGGTGATGAGAAGATATTCTTAAAGAGAAAAACCCCATGCAAAACAGCATCAAATGACATGATGTATTTTTTTCCTGTGTTAGGCTACTGAATTTAGCACAAGTGACAGACCATTATTGCCTCCCATTATACACACTTAAAACTCCTTTTAACAACTCCAGTGGTCAAGGAGCTTACTCCAGTGGTCAAGGAGCTTGATTAGTTGTTTCCAAGACATATGTTGCACTAAAAAAAGTGGAGGACAAATTTACCAGTTTTCACATGCTCTATTCTATTGTTTTACTGCAGGATCCACTTATGAGAACCTGCAAGGATATTTAACCCTTTACAGCAACTTCTGTGCACCTACAGTTTTATCATCTTCTTCAGATGCCCGATATTGTCGCTTTTGTGCACAAAATGTCTTTTCATGGGGAATCAATTTGCACAGGAAGAGATTTTCAAGGGAACAGTTTGCTGCTTCCACCCCCTCAAGACTTTCAATGGCACAGAATCTGGAAAAAAAGAAATCTTAAAAAGCTCTCCTAAAACAGAATTTATTATTCTTCTTTTCATCTTCAGAATGAGGGACAGGCCCAGAAAGGCTAGGTCCCAGCACACAGTCCCATGCTTCAGTTCCTGGGCATCCCTTCGCAGGGAAGGGCATGACAGCCATGTTACAGCTGGCCACTAAAATTTGACCGTATCTCCTAAGAGCTAATATTTCAGTAGCACATTCCATATCTAGATTAGGGTTTCACCCTTCCCAGATTAAACAGTATCTGATCTTAGAACTATTTGGCTGCTGCTCTCCTGTCCCCTCTCTGGGAAGCAATGATGTGAGATACCAGCAGTAAAACTTCACACTAAGCAGGCACTGCACAGTTTCCACAAAGCATGAGTGGAAAGGTCTTTCTCACCTGGGAATGCATTTATATCAATGACCGCATGCTGCCCAGTCTGATTGTTAATGATGATATCAATTCCAAAGAGGGAAACTCCCAGAGCTTGCCGCAGCGCTTTAGAGATTTCCCGGATGACGTCGTCGTTTGGCCGCTCAAATACTCCTTCGATTTTATCCAGCTATAGTGGAAAAAGACACATTACTAAGGGACTCTTAAACAGTCTTTTTAGTGGAAAGATTAATTTTCAGAGGTTTCCAGGTGCATATCCACCAAATCTAATTGCAGAGAACTGGTGGCATGAAACAGAGAAAGACACCAAACAGAAACTGCTTTCATAATTCAGAATCCTACCTATATTGGAAGTTGACCTGCTCTAAAGCACCTAGTTCTTCCTCTTCATACTGGTGCAGCTCCTTGAGAGACACAGCAGTATAGGAATGAATGGAGAATCAGACTCACTATTTTAAGTACTAGATCTATACCTTAAAAAAACAAATACAGCTGGCATGTTTAACCTTGTGCTGCAAATATTCTGGATATCATTCTACTATTTCAATGTAGCTTAAGGCCTATGTTAAAGGACTGGTAAGTCAGATTCCTGGCCATATAACACAACTCAGCTGATATCTTCAGGGCACAGGCTAATTCAAAGGGGATATCTTTTATATGCGTTTTCATGTATAAGTTATTCTACAAACATTTACTAGGACGAATAAGTCTGGTTATTTATGACTGGAAGATGTAACTTTTCTCACTTTTTAAACAACAGGTTATGCAGCAGAAGTATGCTGTTATGCCTACAGAAGCATGTGTGGAATATGTACATGTATAAGAGAGATGGCAGGTAAACCGCAGGAGCATATACTCTCTAAGTTTGAAAGTAAAGTTATCCATAAAGGGATTTATGACTAGCACAATTACAGTTTTAATTTTTAGCATGCCCATCAGTGTTGCACACAAAATTTAATCATTGCAAACTACGAAACTACTCCCCAATAGAGCTTGTGAAACAGAAAAGAATCTGGAGACTCAGAGATTGAAAGGACCCAGTCCTGTAAAGTGACTTTCTCAGCAGTCGAGTGCCCGAGAACTTGTTAGGATTCATACACGCAAAGCTTATTAAAAGGACTGGTAACTCAAGGATGAAACTGTGCTGTGTGCTGGCACTGCTGGACGTGGAAGACACCCAGAAATGGTTCCGTGATCACAGCTCAGGCGTGCTCGCACCGCAGGCAGCTACTGGCCCTCGGTGGCCCTGCCCAATGCAATTTCTCTGCTTGAATTTTCACCATTTGTCCCTCCTCACAGAACTGAGTCCTAGAAGGATGATTTATGCTTATTAAGCTCTCTGGACAGGAAAAGGCCAGGTATTTGCATTCAGAATCTCCTTCTTCCCTTTGCCTAGATTAGCTCTGGGGAGTTTAGGCCTGGCAAGCAGCACAGGCCTGCTGCGTCAGTGCTTCCTCACCGGAGCTCGGTAAGGAAAACCAGAGGGACACACAGTCATGCTGGTTCGTTGTACCAAACAGACCTCAGCCTGCAACACAGAAGCAGACAACTTGTGAAGGAGAGTCACTAGCTACTAACGCTTTGATAAGAAAGGACTAGATAGTTTTCCAGCCGCGCTAGAGGAAAAAAGACCAAGTGTACTTACTGCTGTTAAGACAGATGAGGATTCTGGCTTTGAAACATTGTGGCTGTTGAAAAATATTGATTCTCTGTCTGGAATTAAAAGAAGGTTATAAATAACTTTATACCAGATTTTAATTCCCAAAGGATTAGTGCAAGGAACAGTAGATGGCACTGCAGCCCCGGCAATCTAAGTCTTCATCACTACCGGGCAGTCCCCCGCCACCCACCCCACTCACAGGGCCTCTCCTGCCTGGCACTTAGCTCCCTGCACAGGCAGAGACCCACAGCCACGTCACCCACGGTTTTCGGACCTCGGACCACAAATACATAAAACTGCACGGGGTTAAGGGAAACCGGTTTCCTTTTCTTCACCAGAGCCAATTAACTAAGTTCAGTAAGATAATGAAGTTAATTTCTACTAATTCGCTATCCTCAAAGTGACAGTTCCAATGGGAAGGCATGTGACAGAAGGGACAAGCTGCATTCACTGCAGGTAGTAGACTGATAGCACCCAGGGTACACTGACATCCCTGTGAACCTGGGGAGGGCACTGTCACCATGGAGGAAAGCAGTAAATTTCATGCTCAGGACCTGCCCTCCCTTTGGAGACACCGCAATAATGCAGGAGGCACCCTGAGGTGACAGAAACCAGTAACATACCACAGTGGAAACCACGGGGAGAATCGTACCAGCACCTCCTGCCCCGCTCCCTCTGTGCTGGAAGTTTTACTGGTGGGGAGAAATCCACCACCACAAGTCTCCCCTTGGGATTCCCACCACAGCAGACTGACGGCATCGTACAGAAAACCCGCATGGGAACACCCGGACCAAAGTCTCAGCACGCAGGTGGCACCAGCAATAGAGTGTTTCTGCTATGCTGGTCTCTCTGAGTGGACATTTAAGAGCAGTCACAGGGCCACGTACGATAAAGATGGGGGAGCCGTGAAAAGCAAACCTAAATCCACTCCTCAGTTTGATACCACCGTATACTCTTCTTGCCTTTCCTCCCATTTAGAAAGGCCCTGTACTTTCAGACAATCAGCTCCTGGAGTGCCTCACAGCTACCAGATCTGCTTGATCGTCAGATCTGCCTAGTCAGGTGCCTGCAGCATGGCCCCCTTAAACTCTCCTGATGAGGGTAAGAAAGCCAGACACTTATCCTAATCTGCCCACAAAACTTATTTTTATGTGGGCTTCCAGACAACTTTCAAGTCTTACACTAATGGATGAGACATTAGCTAAGGCATTTTTAGAAAGATGCCTTAAAACATTCTCTTCCAGCAAAGGTACAGACCAACTGTCCTAATAGTTTATATGAACACAGATTCTGGCCTACTTAATTTAATCAGGACATAGAGCAGACCTAAATGTAAATACAGGCATACGTATCTACAGACAAGGACTTTTATCGGGATCCTACTATAAATATACTAACAAAATACATATTGGTGTGCAGAATGCAATGGTGAGCACATACGGACACACTAAGATCAGCAGAAACCACTAAGCAAAGTGACAAGAAACTGGCACTTGTTCATTCATCTCTTTCAGCTTGATACCTTCTCCCCTCCCATTCCCACCTCCTGGATTTGCCCAGTTGGAAGCAGATCATGCTCCCATCCACGCCCTGCTAATTCCTTCTTGCTTCTGAAGGTCCACAGAATGCAGTTCTTGGGAAACAGTTTTTTTTCCATAAAGGAAATTTTAGTAATCTTTACCAAAAACCTTTGAAGTGCTGCTGTCTAGTGACACATAGGAGGATCACTGTCCTCACTGACAAATCCATTCCTCCTTCCCCCCAACACGGCTGGTATCTACAAACCAAAGGACACTTCCCACCAAGGTTTACAGCACTGGGCCTCACATGAAGAGAGCGGCTCATTTAGGAGAGAGCACAAGCGATCTTTAATTTAAATACATACATAATCAAGGTAAAAATAGGCAGAGGAAGTTCTGAAATGATGGAATCCAGGAAATTCTCTCCAAAGCACGTTTATAAACAAACCCCAAAACAAATGACACATGAACTTACTGTGAAATTACGAGAATTTCTCTCCCTCTTCCCCTTTCCATATGACATAAAACACTGTTTCTAACAGGTAAGACTCAGGTTACCATTGCATAAATATTTACTATACGAATGTCATTCATATGTATTTCAGAGCAGATGAGTTATCTCCCTTCCTATTGAAATAATACAGAAGAGGAAACATGGTATGTAAGAACCAGCTGCCTTCACTTCAGCAGCCTTTTCAAAGATTTTTTTTTTTTTTTGAGCTGTTTGCTGCCAAGTCTCCGAGAACTGACATTTCCTTTTAAATCAGCACAACGTACCTGAGATTCCCGCAGAGAAGTTCTTTAAAGATGGTCTTTTCACCACCGTGTAGGATTCCCCGACCACGAAGACTTTATACAGCACGGCATTGTGATTGATGAAGCTCTGAATGACGCAAGGAGGGCGGACAGCTTTCAGGCCCTCCTGGTTGAAGATGATCGCCATCTGGAAACACACACACACAGTTGTGCACAAATCTTTCAATAATTTAACACTTACCCCACCACCTGACTAGCAGTGAGGGGGAACATCTGCTAGTGGATATATATGGACCACATGTGAATTCCTTCTCAGCAGCTAGTCCTATTTCATTATGTTTCATTTCACTGACACACAACTCTCCAAACACCACTGGCAGTGCAGCTTTCATTTTCCATCAACGTTTTCTTCTCAGCTCTTTGCAATTTCATTTGCTGCTTTTAGTTGGGAAGCTACTGCAACTGCAGGTACAACAAAAGGGTAAAATATTTGACCAACACAGACGACAAAGTTTGTATTGAATACAAGTGTGTATATCATGAGAACAATAGAAGGAACGGCTCTATGTACTAACTATATGAGTTCTTCCCCACAGCTCTATTTCCCGTGGTTTAGTTCAGTCCAGTTGCAATGGCCTAAGCACCAGGGTTTCACCCACATCATCAGAGAACTTCTTTCAGACTCTAGTAGCTCTTACTGCTAGCAAATACTGGCCTAATGATTTTCTCGGCTTGGTTTCACCCCATCACTCCAAATGGATAGTCCTCTTGAAGGGACTGGAACAAATACACCAAAAAGGAAGGCATTTATAGGGCCTGAATGATGAACAACAGCTGCCTCAGAGTACGGAAGCGATACTGGTAGGTGCATAGAAGTACTTTGATGAGCCTCCATGTCTTCAGCGCATGTTACACTGCTCTTTCCATCGATCCCTCCATTACCATGCTTACATGCATATATAATTATCATAACCGTAGTGCCCTGTTTTGCAGGTTTGTTCTTGGAGTATGGATGCTGCCATGGCTTCTACTCAAAACTGGCAGCATTCTGGCACAGGCTGATGAAATTACTTTATACTAGTGTGCCCCGACACAGCAGTGAGGATAAACTTAGGTTTGCTCTCTATCATCAAAGCCCTGAAAAAGCCATGCTCTAGTTACCTGAATATTGACCTCTCTTCATTATTCCAGTGATGCTGGGCCTTGTTATCCACGGTGGCAAAAGGGCACATTGATAGTCAGGTCAATATGAGTAAGGACTGTTCAAGGCCAGAGAACCTGACATACGTTTTATCTTCCTTTTCTCTGGGCAAAACTCCCTCCCACAGGTAGGGATGCTTTGGTTAAAGCACCTTTCCCCTCTGAAGATCCTTGAAGACAACAGCTAACCATCCATGTCTTAAGCCTGCCGCCTACCTCAGTTAGTGCAGGGTGCACAACACTTGCCAGAAAAGTTCCTAAGCTCTGAAACACAAGTTTTTTGTTATGCGTGTTAGTATTTTCTCACTGGCCTCCTTGGGCCTCGTGTTTTACTCGGGATGTAAGACAATCCAGAGAGGCTAAGAGAATTCCTGTGGATCCCACAGTGACTCCACAGTGATATACAGAATAAAATTGGAGCTTCCTGCCTCAGCATGATGCAGATGAGTTATACTGCTTGCTCTCTCCTTCCACATGCTTCCTGAGAGTTTTTGTGCTTTCTGAGATTAGCTGTATCTTAGTGAAGTCATAGAATCATAGAATCATTA